ATTCCCGTGAGAAAGACGAAGTCTATGTATTCAATATCGTAGTACTAAAAGAGTTAACTCTTTTAGTATAACATTACGTGCAGAACGGGTCTAATCAATCTGCATGCTAGCCCGACTCAAATGGTAGTCGGTAAAGGCTAATCAAACCCGTTGATGGCTGAGAATTTGTAAAAAGTTCTATAAATATGAGTCATTGACGTATCAGCTCTATTAGTTGGTCTCGTGACTTGAGCATCCAACAACTTCAGGATAAGATCCATACATACAGATGAATCAGTTTTAATAAGTTGGTCTTGCAGCCCTAACATTTGGGACTGTCACGCTCTAACATATTAAGAGCTTAAACTATATAGACTCTAGCAAACGTACAAGTATAAACTGTGTTAACGCCGGTCAACGTGTTACAATAAAGATCGATATCGGTCAACGCATCAGCAATCTGGCCAAACTAAGGTAATCGATGATTTCAGGGAGTTCAATCAGATTCAGATATGAATTCCTAACGAAGATGATTAGTTCAAAGTCAACTCAATGACACGAGCTAAGTTCAGAAACTTACACACCAACTTCAATTCAAAATTTTGATAACGGTCAGACGATAAACGCAGTGCCGGAAGAACTTCATTTATTCAAAGAAACACTGAATAGACTGAAGGCTGAAGAAGTCAAGAATTAAAGCAGTTCACAGGTCCCTCTACAAAATTAAGGAAAGGGTCTATCTTATCCAAAGCTTTCCAGATTCTTCTATAAAAGAATGAGTCTAAAATACTTTAGAGAGGGTATCTGTAAGCGTCTGAAAATGGCTATAGGTGTCCGCGCATAGCTCAAGACGGAGAAAAGATGATGAATGTTGTTATCTGAGTATAGGAGGAGTATCTAATACCGATAAGTACATGAACTAGGATGACGAACCAACTGTGTCTCGTGCGTTCACCAGCCACCTCTAATTGGCCGTCATGCCTATCGGTCGGTTAACTCGCACGTGTTGGTCAGTTCCAAGTGACCAAACGCACTCGTCAGTCAGATCGCACGTGTCAATCAGCTTCAAGTGTCATAAAGAACCTAACGAGTGCATGAAGTGAGTCAATAAAGTATGCGAGTCAATAGAATGACGAAATACGTAATACAAGTCCGGAGAAGTCAGAAAGTGTCGAACACCTCAAAGTGGCCTATAAAACAAAGAGGCATTTAGAATATGCTACAATTTGAATCTAAAAAAACTCAAAAGATAAAAGTTGTAGGTATCTTCGTTAGCTTTCCAACGTATCTTGAACCAACTCAATCTAAGGTCGGACGAGAGAGTTAAGACCAGAATACCGAAGATATCTCAAACTGACCCGTGCGCCGGCGGGTCGGACCAATCCGACCCGCAACGTGCCCATGCGGGTCGGATCAGTCCGTCTCACGCCCAGAACTGCCCGTAACCTCCAAAATGCGTTTTTAGGCTATTTTGATTAGTTTCTTCTGTTCTAGAGGTTTCTAACTGCCTAGATATCATCTACAAATATGGTTAGGCTAAAGATAATACCAAATCACTCATTCTTATCCAAAAACCCCCACCCGAAGCCTATAAGTACAGGCCTAGGGGCTCATTTCACGGGGACATGATTAATTATCAAGACGAGGAGGTGCTACCGGATTGAGGAGTCAAAGGAGCATGAATTTCAGCAAGGGCTAGCGAGATCCCGACGAATCCCGGCATAAAGAAGGAGTAATTCGAAGGATCTGAAGCCTATTCCCATCCTTTCCTCAAGATTAGGCTTTGTCTTAATCTCGAGAAGAGCTACTGATTTCGCTTGGTCAATTTTAACGCTTCAAGCAAATACTTTCTTGGTGAAGTAGGAGCTCTACCAAATTTTTTAGCAATCGGATCTGATCGACGGTCGTCCACGGATAAACCCCGGCACTGACGAAGACACCCACGCAAGCAGGAGACGATAAACATATCTTGTGTTTATTTTCAAAAGAATTGTATCTTTTATTTTCATTGTGCAAAGGTCTTATAAAAAGACCGATCTTTTTGAATATATTATAATGATCAAAGTTATAATGAGTTATACAATGAAAAAAATAATTTTCGACGAAAACATGCACGTTTTATACAAGTTTGTAACGGTTGCGGGAGTTATGGAAATGTATAACGGACGTGAGATCTTAGCATAACGTGCTTGGACTATCAGTATTGGTTACGAGCTGAAGGGGCTATATAAAGAGCTCAAGCTCATTCGGAGAAAACACAGAAAACAAGAAGAATCCTCCAATTTCCCTCAAAATTCCGAGAGCTACCTTCATCCTCTCAAAATTTGTCTGCTACTATTTACTTATATTTTTGGGCAACCATCTTCATCTGAGCAGAAGCTCTGCTACTCATGCCCAAGTTCAGAGATCGATCGTTTCCGGGGGGCTTTTATCGCTAGAGAGAGAGGATCGACTATGCCAGAGCGATAGGCATGTCCTTTATCTTCTAGGGCAGTGAATCACGACTGCACCCATTCAGGCCTGGTTTTTCTAACTTTTATTTCAGATTTTATCTCTTTTATCAGCACAAGGGGTCAACCTGATAAGGCAAAACTCTCAAATTCTCTTTTGCTGTATATTTCACAATACTTATTTTTCAAATACTCTTTTAATATTGCTGCTTCTTTCACCTTTATCATTTTAAATTTCGTTTTACTATTGTTCTCTTGATTCTTCACATTAATAGTGCAAAAATCTTTTCTTTATATCTTATTAGTATGCTAACTAAATAGATAAAATAAACATGCCTTTATTTTCCCAGAATGTGTAGAATATGTTTTTAATGTTAGATTTTTTAAAAGAATGCATTATATATTATTAGATTCCTATCTAACGTATGAGTAGAATGACTTTTAATAATACAAGGTTTTTTTACCATTTGAGTTTTAGAAGTTTTCAAAACAAATGAAAGCTTGAAGTTTAGTTAACATTATTTCTGGCTTGTGTTCTATTTGTCAATGACTCATTATCAATCCCATGAAGCTTCTAATTAACTTTTAACATTATACATCAAAAACTTCCACCACCTTCTCCTTGATGTACAAATTAAAAAATTTTAAATACTTAATTGAACCATGCATTTGCTTAATCATGAAAAACTTAACCATAGATTAATTGAGAGAAGTAGCTAGCTTAATTACTGGAATTCACCGAGAATATTTCTGATTATAGGTTGTCATAGTAATCCTTCTAAATATAATATCAAATTCTTTAATATCTTTTTGAGTAGTATCTTTTGTTGCTACAACTTTCACAATTATCACTTTGGAATGCCTATTTCTTTTCGCTTTACTATTGATTTCTTGATTCTTCACATTAATTGTCCAACATTTTTTTTCTGCCACCTCATTAACATGCTAATTATTATGTTATACTGAAACACAAGGCTTGCTATCGGTCACTTGTGACAATGAAATTTAAATTTATTTCTCGGATAATATTACTCCTTGCAAGAGAAATTTTTTGGAATCTGATGTTGAGCATTCAGTTTTAGTAGACTTGATCATTTCTTCGGGAATGTCTAGCAATAAAAAGCAAAAACAGATCAAAATTGAAAAGAAAAATTAGAATACTCTACAGAGAATTCAAGCTCATTTTTGAAAAATCTCTATCTGATTCATGTTGTCTGAAACTTATATTTAGTATTCTGGTCTAAAACTTTATTTAGTAAATTTTTGTATGCACTACATATTTTTTTGGTGGTTTTGCTTTGAGAAACATAACTACTTGATATGATTGAGATAGATATTTTGTTTATCAATATATTAATAATTATTGTTTTGATTCATAGATATATATATTTGACAAGTATCTCTATGTGCTTTAAATATTTTATTTGGAACTAAACTTTATGCTGCATACTAATTACTTGGTATATCAAAATATTATAGCATTAATAATATAGACATGAGACATTTTATCTATTTTGTTATGATAATAGAGAAATTATATTTTGATTATTTTTTACAGTTTAATAGTAAGTCAAGCATATATGCAGCTTAGATTGTATCATTTCTGACTACTTATATATTATTACTATTTTATTTTACATTCTTTTGCTACATCAATTTTTGTATATTAAACAAATCTGTGCATCGCACGGGGCTGAAACTAGTTAATATAATTCATATGGCCTATTGAGTGAGGAGATCTTATTGGTTACTTTTGGTTATATATGTTAAGTGTTGACTAACTAGTGTAGAATCTAGATATTCCTTGTATTTTATTGTTAGAAGGGATATATAGAATCTAAAATTTTTCCATAAAGATCTCAGGACATTGCGCAGAGAGCAAAACTGAAATGCTTAATATTCCAGAAATTTCTCCTTTATTAATTAAAATTGGGAACTCCAAAATATTTCATCATGACAGTCATGTTATACTAGCATGCAATATGATCTAGAAGTAATAACGCGCCGTTCTCTAATTTGTCACGTTCTTTCTCCTTTTGATAATTAAGTGTTAAACATTTAATCTCATCACAATCAAAAAGTATCTTAATTTTCTTGATAATCAAGAATACAGAGAAATGCAAACCTAGGATTACCCACTAATAATGCGCAATTAAATGTATGTATCAAGTTTAGAAATTACCTTAGTTTCAAGAATGCAGATCAATGCAGAACCAAATGATCAAGAGCACAATCAACAAAAAGCTAACTAATTGAATTTTCTTTTTTAATAATTAAAAACCCAAACTGCATTAGCACTAGGCGTAGGTATATATATATATCAGCATTAATCATATCAATAGAGCATCAAAATTCTTTGAATAAAAATTACTGAAAATTAAACTTGCAAATGATCATGCAAACACAAATCTATGGAATCAATAGCTTATTCGTTGGATGCTCATTTATAGAAATAACTGATTTTCAAGTGGTTAAATTTATAAAAGTTAAAGGTCCTAGATGTAAAAAACACAAATCTTAACTCATTAATATCTTCCTTTCCTAATTATGCAACAAAACCCATCCCTCCTTCCCAAATCCCGCTGCCCTCCTTCCCCAAGCGAGCGCCGGCGAATCCCCTCCTTTCCCAATCGAGCACCGGCGAGGGAAGCGAGCGCCGGCGAAATCCCCTCCTTCCCCAAGCGAGCGCCAGTGAATCCCCTCCTTCCCTAAGCAAGCGCGGCGAAATCCCCTCCTTCCCCAAGCGAGCACCGGCGAAATCACTGTAAGAAAACATCTAATTGTAAGAAAACAATCACTCATTTTTTCTAAGATGTGCACCGGCGAAATCACTGTAAGAAAACATCTAATTGTAAGAAAACAATCACTCATTTTTTCTAAGATGTGAAAATTTAATTTCCTACAATTATTTACATGAAGATGTATGTATCTCTATTTATTTATTTATTAATGTTTCAATGTACCCCTTGAATTGTTTTGTTCGATATTAAGTTTCAATGTATGTATCTCTATCTAACTGTGTTCTTGAATTTTAATTTTAATTTCTAAAATTTTGCATGTGTTGTATAATTTCTTTAATTTTTCATTTAGATGACCTCCAGCCATTCTTGATTTAGTGAAAATTATTGAAAACCTTGGCTTGTTCCTTGATGTGATACAACTTCATGCATGCCATGGCTTCTAGCTAGTTATATCTGTAGCATTGTGTCCCTGGCAAGGATAGAATCAACATTTTCTTTCTGATTAACCAGCAAAATAGGTAAAAAACGGAGATTGCTCGGCTTAATTGAGGTTCGTAACTCAGGCTTAGGGTGTATGAAATCCATGTGTTGCATGTTTTCAGTTGGTATGAGAAGTGCAGAAGACATCTCCTTCTAAGTTTTTTTTTTTTTTTTTGACTTTAAACAATAAGCCAAAAGTATTCAATCTCTTGACAATTTGTCATTCTAGATGGTATAAATTTAAAATACCTCCCACTTGCCCATAGTATATCTTTAAAATAAGCAAGAGGGATTTGTCAGGAGTACACGACGAATCAAAAACTTAAGTAATTGAGCAATTTTCTTACTGGCCATTACCTTTTACCTTATTATTGAAGTACCATCATAATCATCGTTGTGTGTTTTCAATTCAAAAACCAGGGGCTTCGATTGCTTTCAAGCTCTTTAAGCAGACTTAAAGGATGATAACAAAGAATTAAAAGCATCAAGTGACCATCATAATCATCATTGTGTGATTTCTTTAATTTCTTACATCTTCTGTGTTCTTGAATTTTAATTTTAATTTCTAAAATTTTGCATGTGTTGTGTAATTTCCTTAATTTTTTTATTTAACTGTTTGATGTATTTTCAATCTTTGGATGGTGTAATTATACTAATGGAAATTGATTAATATTGTTTAGGTCAATTTCAATATGGTTGATGTTCATGTAGACAGTTTGATGACTGAAAATGTGGAAGGAAGTGGATTTGTTGATTGTAGTAATACAAAGCATGAGTTGGAGCAAGAGAAAATTAATCATGTAAATTCTATTGATAATGACAAGTCTAATACTGTGGAACCATGGATTGGAATGGAATTTCCCACATATACTGCTGTGTATGATTATTATAATGATTATGCAAAAATAAAAGGATTCAGTGTTCGTATAAGCTCAGGCAATTACTCTAGGAAAGAAGGAAAAGAACTCATATCAAAAAAAATTGTTTGTAATAAGGAGGGTCTAAAATCTACAAATGATAAGAGAGAGCATGGAAAAATAGTAAAGCGTCGAAGAGATACTAGAGTAGGTTGCAAGGCGATGTTGCGGGTCAATCGTACTGATAAAGGAACATGGATAGTGAGCAAACTTGTTAATAAGCATACAAATCACGAGTTGACTAGTCCAGATAAGGTTAAGAATCATTATTCACATCGAAAGTAACATCGAACAAAAGGTTGTCAAAGTCTGATTGATAATTTGCATGAAGAAGGGCTTCCGCCAGCAATAATTTCATGAGTAATAAATGTTGGTAGTGGGAATCGGGAGGAAATCATCACACCACAACAATGTAGTGATCATATCAGAAAGCAGAGAAAGAATAACATGGGTAATGAATGCATATTACTCATTCAAAAATTCATAGATAAAAGGACATTTGATCCAGATTTTTATTTTGCTATTGAATTAGATACTACATGAACTATGAGGAGTGTATTTTGAGCAGATGGACGGGCCAAGGCATCATTCTTAAAGTTTCATGACGTTGTTGTTTTTGATGTTACATATAGAACTAACAAGTTGGCACTGCCTTTTGCTCCATTTACCGGTGTTAACCACCATAGGCAGTCAACTTTATTTGGTTGTGCACTACTTGCAGATGAGGAAGAAGACACATTTGTCTGGTTGTTTACTGAGTGGGTTAAATGTATGAATGGAGTGGCTCCGCATGCTATTATTACAGACTAGGGCAAAGCTATATGCAATGCCATTCAAAGAGTTTCCAAATACTCGACATCGTTATTGCAAATGGCATCTTGGCAAACACATGGTTGATTATTTATTATCTCTACAAAAGTTGCATTGAGAAGAGTTTGCGAACTACTTTAATAGATGGTGGCATAGCAAGACAATTGAAACATGTATTCAGCAATGAGATGAGTTAAAAGAAAAGTTCAATATAGAAGAAAATGAGGAAGGTTGGTTACAAACCATGTACAGAAAAAGAACACATTGGGTTTCATGCTATCTCAAAGATACATTCTTTGCAGGAATGACATCAAGCCAACGTAGTGAAAGTATAAATGCCTTCTTTGACACATACATAAACTCACAAACATTGTTGCCTGATTTTGTTGAGCAATATGATAAAGCAGTATTGTCTCGTCGTTCTCAAGAATTAAGTAAAGATTTTGCTACTTTGAATACAAAGCCTGTGATGCATCTAAACTATCCGATTGAGATTCAAGCTGGAGAATTATATACAAGAGCTATATTTGAGAGGTTTCAGGATGAGCTTAAAGGTTCTGTATCTTTGTTTCATGATGAGATCGGAAAAGAAGAATCAATTTCTAAATACATAGTTGGCTCGATCTCTACTGAAAGAAGTGTATGGGAGAATGTAGTTTATAATCAAAATGAACAGAGAATAACATGTACATGTGCTATGTTTGAGACTGATGGAATATTATGTAGGCATGCCATTCATATTATGATATCGAATCAGTTGGTAAGAATTCCTCAAGAATACATTATGCATAGATGGACAATGAATGCAAGACACCGTAATATTGGAGTCTCTCATGTGTTGCTGGAGAAAAACTTTAATAGTAATAGAGAACAATGGACTACTTTGCGCTCTTGGGCTTTGAGAGCAAAATTTAATAACGTGATGGAGTGGGCACCTGAATCACCTATGGTCTTTGATAAAATAGATGCTTTTTTTCTAACTTGATGGAAAAATATGAAAAAGATATTAGTGCTAAGCAAATCAAGGGGATTGAAGCTACAAGTCGGGTTGAATCTAGTACTCCTCCTTCCCATACTATTGAGAAACTCCCTCAAATAACTGTTCGTAACCCTCTCGAGTCTACAAAACATAAGGGGTGACCGAGAACAATTAGCAGATTAAAATCGGGACTTGAACAAGCACATGAAAAAAAAGAGATAAAAAAGAGGACATGCGGCAGATGTGGTCAAAAGGGACATTATAAAAGTAGTTGCACTAATGCTCTTGTTGCTAACCCGTCAAATAACTAGGTATTTTAATGCTTAATTGTTCAAAAAGATACTTACATTAGTTGATTGAAACATTTTTTTACAGCTAGTTCTATTTATTCATCTGATTCTTGTTTATTTATACAGGCATAATTTGAAGTTCATCATCCGACTCCTAGCAGCAAGTCATTTTGGATCTGAAAAACAAATTACAGCTTTGCTATGTTTGTGAATTTTAGGCAGTTGCCAACATTCTGTTTGTGTCAGAATACAATGCTCTGCATGAATATGAAGATCATATGTTTGATGGAATGAAATCATGTTATAGGCAAGCTTGATGAACGAGGAACTGATTTTTTCTTTAATGTTTGATTTAGACGTTGTGAACTTTTGTACCAGGAGTTAAATTGATATTTGATTGTGAACTTTTGTACCAGGAGTTTGCAATCACGCTTTCCACTTTTACTGCATCGGTAGGTGGCTCAAGACCAAGCAACTCCAGTAATGTTTTCGGATGTCGAAAGTTATAGGGATCAATGTTGTGTTAGTTTTTTATGCTAAAAAGTTCCCTCCCCACTGTATGATACTTTCTCTTGATCTTTTTGACAAATGTAAAATAGTTCATAAGAGAGTACCCCTGTTACCTCATCAGTCACGTGGAAATTCTAACTTTATGACCGTGTAATAGTGTACCCTCTCACTAATAGCTCCTCTTTGTTGACTCCGCGGAAGTGTAATCAAATTGCTCTCAGGAGCTTCTTTTTAAGCTTAAGGCAGAAATTTGAGGTCAAATTTACTTCTTTTTACCTGTATGCATGAATTCAATAATCCATTACAAGGATGTGAACCGTACACATACTACAGGTTGGCAGGATGTAAAAACTCAAATTCAGGCATAAATTTGATTGGAGCATTGCCCGTAGATGCTTGACTGGGTGATACACAAGTATTAAAAATGATGAACTATTATTAAAAGATTGAAATAAAGTGATGAACAAGCATTAAGAGATTGAAATAAATCACCATTCACATAGCTCTAGTAACTGGATGTGCTGGTTCATATCCTTCTAGAAAAAGGTAAACTACTACAATGAACCTCTTCTTCAAACCCTCTTGCTGAACTGATCTCCAGTTCTCAATTCAGCTATACTCATGACAACAGAAGTGCTTCCAATTTTCCCTCAGTTAGAATTTTATTTATTTATTTATTTATTTTACACTTCCCTTATTCCTGTCCTATAATTTTATTATTTCATAACATCTATGTATCACCAAATCAAGGTCTCAAGCATAGTTGAAATGAGAAGAAATAAACAAGCTAATCACCGTATATCTGATTCCTCCCGCCATCGACAGACTTCTTCACTCATTTCGGGTGGTAAGTCACTTGATACCATGCCGCTGCCTTACTCTCATATATCCGATTCCTCTCGTCATCACTTAGCTGAGATAAATGGCCCCCAATCTCCTCAAAAGAGCGTCTATATTTCTTATTAAGTGCATAATATGCATTCTTGAGCCTCTCTTTGATCTCCCCTTGTTTTCTGCTGTTGTAGCTTCCCAAAGAACAAATATGCCCTGTAACAACCTCTCCCTCTTTATCAACTCTGAATTGCCCTAACAATGCATTCAATTGTCGATCATATGAACTTTGGTTTCCCAGGCTTCAGTGAGATAATCAAATGCCTCTGAAATATCAAAAGCTTGATCATATGGTAAGTCCTCGTAAGCAGATCATGAAATGAGCTCAGAAGAGTTGTCCTCATCAGAAGCAAATTTTATCTTTCGGTATAATCTTCCAATGATCTTCTCTGATTTGTATGTTATGTGTTCATCCGTGTTCATGAAGTCAGGATAGACTTTAGGCTTGTAAGAAGCGGGCAAATTAACGAATACCCCAGTTTTAGGGAAGTCGACAGCAATGGCAGCTAGCTTAGCAAGCTTAAGACATTTATCATCCATGGCCCCATTCTTGATTCTGTGGTTTACTATGTGCAAATGGCGACGAAGGAAGGGTGTCTCCGTTGCGGAGCATGAACGGGGGCGGGGGGGGGGGGGAATCGCAGAGTCGGGAGGGCGACGAGTGTTGTGCTGAGGGATGGGAGTGAACGAGGGCCGCGGCGGTGAAGGTCTGGGACGCCCGAGAGATGCGGCGTAGATTCGGGGAATTTTGGGGATTTTCGGGCGGAGATCGGCGGTGAGGTCTGGGATTTAGGAAGGAAGGGGATGACGAGGATGAAGGATGAGATTTTGGAATTATTCGCTTTTTGGGATTACCGAAGCTTAATTAAGGAAAAGACACTAGAGATTTATGATCTTTTTACATCTAAAGCCCTTCATTTTTTTGTAAATTTTAAACGCCTCTAAAATCTATTATCTTCTATAAAATGAGTGTCAACAAATAAGAGCTTGACACATGGCGCCGCATAGGAAAATTTCTCGCTGGCAGCTCAGCCTCCCGTTCATATATATATATAGTACTATATATATATATATATATATATATATATATATATAGTATATCATAATATATATATATAGAAGAAGAGAGAGAGGAGAGTTTCTTATATAGAGAAATATGGGTATGCTTTGGTAACCAACACAAATTTTATACTTGGTAAGTGATGTGTCACATTCCTCATCCACTCATTACCCCCATGTGAATAATGTTCCCCATATTTGAATGAGTGGAGGGGGATTTTGAACACCCTTCACTACCCGAGCAAACTTTTTTTGGCTTGGTACCAAGCATACACATATTTCTTAATTACTTATATATATATATATATCATATATATATATATATATATATGATATATATATAGTAAGTATATAATATATACCTATATATCTATAAGAGAGAGAGAGGAGGAGGAGAGAGCAAGACTCCTAAATCAACTTAAGTTGATGTCCACCCCCAAAAGTTTCTAGCCACACATATATTAATACATAAAAAACACCTTTATATAATACACTGGAGTCCCATAGCAATACTGAGTGGTTAAAAACTTTGGTGGACACACTATTTGCCTACCCACATTAAGGTTCGTTATAAATTCTATTACATATTATATATATTATATAATATATATATATATATATATATTTAATGATCATGAACACATGTAATAACAAGAAAATTAGTCACCAAGAATGATAAAGAGCCAACCAGCCAATATCATTTCATTCAAACTTTGGAATGAAATCCACATTGCACAAAGTTTGCAGAAGTAGACAATTAAACTCAACCAATTAATGAATCAAAGAATAAGCGAATGCAATTCCTCCATCACACATATCTAAGAGAGCCCACGAGTTTCAAGAATGATCAGCCGACGTGCCTTCATGGTCAATAGCAGCAGCATCATCACCGGCCGGACCCAC